TAATATTATTTATTATTTGATATTAGTGAAATTAAAGAAAGAAATATAGTAAGGTCATTTCTATCCCCTGGGGGGGAAAATCACGTAAGGAAATAAATATGTTCTTTAGAGTTGATTCATGGAAATTTATAAAACAAACAAAATCGGAGACACTAAAGTTTGTAGCCAGGATGAAGAGAAGAGAGGATGGAGAAAGAAAGGACTGTTAGTTCTTTCTTTTTCCTAAGCTTTCCTTCACTTTAAAAAACAAATTTATTATTTTGTGTGTGTGTGTACCATCAAATCGGATCTGACTGGTACAGGAGGAGATTGCTCCTCCTTCTCCAGCAAAGCATCTGGTGGATTCGAATGCATACCTCTAGGATTGCAGTGCAGCTTCTTGCCACTAGGCCACCAGAGCTTCCCAGGACTGTTAGTTTTTGAATGCCTACACATCAGACACTGTGAGCAGAAGTGTTTTCTTCATCGAATTCCCTCAATAATCTGTGACCTATTGACTGTGCCCTTTGGGAGGGTGAAACGACTGTAGCTCTCAGGAGTGAAGTGTGGTTGTTGTTGTGAGGTGCTGTCAAGTCGGCTCATTCTAAACAAGCCTGCAAGGAGGATCAAACGAAACTTGCGCAAAGCTGTTCCGTGTTCACAATCTCCATTGTGTTCCGATCATTGTGTCAATCCTGTGGCAAAGATATGACAAATAAGCACAGAGAGAACTGAAGTTCAGATGTCGCTGTTGTTGTTATGCTTGTTCGGTGCTGTCAAGTAGAACTCATAGAGACCCTGAGAACAACAGATCTGAACCCCGTCCTATCCTGAGCCATCCTCACAGTCTCCAACACCCTCAATGCCATTGCTCCATTCACTGTGTCAAGCCATCTCATTGAGCATCTTCCTCTCTTTTGTCATCCCCCACCTTCCCAAGCACGATGTCCCTCTCCAAGGAGTAGCCTCTCCTAGCAACATGCCCAAAGTATGTGAGGCGAAGCTTTATCATCTTTGCCTCCAGTGAGCACTCTGGCTGCACCTTCTTCAAGACATATCTCTTTTGGTGATTTTTTTGGCAGTCTGTGGGATGTTCTGTCTTCTTCTCCAATATCACAGTTCAAAGGCATCAATTCTTCTGCCATCCTTATTTTCATTGTCCAGCTCTCAGATACATGGTAAGTGACTAGAAAGACCATAGCCTGAATCAAGAGCACTTTAGTCCTCAAACTGATATCATTGCTCCTCAGTGATTTGGAGAAGTCATGCCGCCTCCAGACATTCCCAGGGTAATATGTCTCCTAATCTCTTAACTGCTGCTACCAAGGGTGTTGATTGAGGATCCAAGTAACAGTTTCCATTTCTTTGCCATCTGTGATGATTTCACCTATTGGTTCAGCGGTGAGAATTTTTCTTTTCTTGAAGTTGAGGTGCAATCCATCAGGGAGTCTCAAATCTGGCTTCCTGTTAGAGTCACGTGGGATTGTTTCTGAAGATCCCAGTGCCAAGACCTCACCTCCAGACCAATGATTTTAGAATCTCTGGAGGCGGGACATAGGCATGAGTACGATTAAGAACGGTCCAGGCCATCCTAATGACTGGTCATGGTGAAGAGTCGGGGCATGGTAAGACCTCCTCACCACAGAAGTACCAGGTGTTTGGGTTTCTTTTTTTCTTTTTTAATCTTAACAAAATTATGGAGACAGAATACCTCCCTGGTATACACCCTTCCCAATTTTGAACCATGCAGTTTCTCCTTGCTATGTTCTGACAACTGCCTTCTGGTCCAAGTATAGGTTTTGTGTAAGCACAATCAAATGTTCAGGGATTCCTATTCTTCTCAAAGTTAGTCACAGTTTGTTGTGTTCTAGTCAAATGCCTTTGCGTAGTCAATGACATACAGATAGACATTCCTCTGGTACTCCCTGCATACAGCCAAGATCCATCTAACATTAGCTGTAATATCCCTAATACCATGGCCTCTTCTAAACCTAGCATGCACATCAGGCAGTTGCCTGTTGACGTGTTGTTCCACTCGTTTTTGGATAAACTTCAGCAAAATCTTGCTTGCATTTGATATTAATGATATTGTTTGATAATTTCCACATTCTGATGGGTCACCTTTCTTTGGAATAGAACGAATATAGATCTCTTCCAGTCAGTTGGCCAGGTGGTTGTCCTCCAGATGTCTTGGCAAAACTTAGTGAGCACATCCAGGGCAGCATCTGTTTGTTGAAATATGTGAATTGGTATGCCATCAATTCCTAGAGCCTTGTTTTTGCCATGTTTTTTAGAACAACTTGAACTTTTTCCTTCATCACCACAGGCTCTTGGCTGTGCGTTGTTTCATGAAATTCTTCTGTTTGCCATTTCCGTTTAGTAGAGTGACTCTGTATACTCCTTCCATCTTCTTTTAATGCTTCTTGGATTATTTATGAGGAAGAATGTGGCATCAGGACTTGAGGAAGATTCAGAAACAACCTGTGTTATGCAGATGACACAATACTGCTTGCTGAAACTGAGAAGGATCTGAAGCACTTGCTGCAGAAGGTCAAGGACTTCAGCCTTCAATATAGATTGAAGCTCAACATCAAGAAAACAAAGATTCTAACCACTGGGCCGATTAGCAGCAGCTTTAGTTTGCTTGGCTCCATAATCAACACTCTTGGTACCTACCAGCAGCCAGGAAATCAAGAGAAGAATTGCATTGGGAAAGTAGGACCTCTTCAGAGTACTAAAGAGCAATGATGTCAAGCTGGAGACTAAGGTGCACCTGATCCAGGCCATAGTCTTTGCAATCACTTGTTATGCATCAGAGAGTTGGACAATGACTAGGGATGATAGAAGGATAATTGATGCCTTTGAGCTGTGGTGCTGGAGAAGAGTTTTGAATATACCATGGACTGCTAGGAAAACAAACAGGTTTGTCCTTGAGAGGGTGAAACCAGGATGCTCCTTGGAGGCAAGGATTCTGAGGCTTTGTCTGACATACTTTGGAACATGTTTCAAAGAGGGACAAGTCCTTGGAGAGGGGCATCATGCTTGAAGGGTTGAGGGACAGAGAAAGAGAGGGAGACCATCGATGAGATGGATTGATACAGTGACTGGGGTAATGAGGGCAGGTGTGTGGGAGATAATAAAGTTGGCACAGGA